GACTGAGGAGGCCGTCACCACCTGAAGCAGTTCAAGGACTGAGGAGGCCGTCACCACCTGAAGCAGCTCAAGGACTGAGGAGGCCATCACCACCTAAAGCAGTCAGTGGGCATCTATCCCAGCGGGTTTCTGCGCTTGGCAACGTGTGAAGTAAGTCCAAGAGCAGCATCAAACGCGCCCGAGGGGTGGCGTGAGGAGGGCATGGGAGGCCGGTGTCCAGGGGAGCTGGGAGGAGACAGTGCGGGTGTCAGGAGCTCTGGACTCTGAGCGCGTAGGGAGGGCCGGTTAAGCCCTCGCCTTCCTCCCGCTGGCCCAGTCAGGGCCTAACAGGCCGGGACTGTTCCATTGAGAGGCGGCTGGCAGGCTCCCGTCGCTTCCCTCTGCTGAGGGCAGGCGGAACTATCCATACGGAATGTGCTGGAAGCTCTTTCTTGGTTTCAAAGTGACTTTGAAACCTCCTTTGCTGTCCTCAACCCCAGTAATAGAATATTATATTCCAAAAATATGAATGTATAAAATGATGCTTTCTGCAAAAGAGGCAGAGCTTCTCTGAATAACTCTCTTCGTGTTGGTGCCTTTTAGGTTGATTTCGAGTAATTAGAAAACTGCACCCACGGGCTGATTTCCAGCAAGAGGTTCTGCCTGTCGGGTGGAGAAGCTGTCAGGCAGTTACACGCACTGCCCTCAAAACTGCGTTATTCTGCGAAGCTGGGAGAGGTCAGCTCCGCGAGGCGGTGGAACCATCTCCCGGGTCTCTGCTGGCGTCTCTCCAGCATGCGGTCCACGGACAGAAGTCCGGCGGGAGAGCCGTGAGGACGGGCGTTTTCTGAGACGTGCTTCACCGGGGCAAAGCAGCCACAGCCGTGCACAAGGCCACGATTGCTTTGCTCCTGAGTGGAGACCCTGGCACAAAACAATATAAAGATCAAGTTTCCCTCAGAGCCCAGTGCAGCCAGGAAAGACTCAGATGCGTGGGCTTCCAGCCCCTGAAGAGCGTCTCACTATATGAACAGTCTGGGCCCTGGCGAGGGTGTCTCGTTGTATGAACAGTCTGGGCCCTGGTGAGGGTGTCCCCTATGAACAGTCTGGGCCCTGGCGAGGGTGTCTTGTTATATGAACAGTCTGGACCCTGGTGAGGGGGTCTCATATGAAGAGTCTGGACCCTGGTGAGGGAGTCTCATATGAACAGTCTAGGGCCCTGGTGAGGGGGTCTCATATGAACAGTCTGGACCCTGGTGAGGGGGTCTCAACACATGAACAGTCTGGGGCCCTGGCGAGGGGGTCTCATATG